CCCGACTCCCCTCGCGGTGACAAGGCGGGCGCCAGCCTCGCGGTATCTCTTCTCAGCCAGGTTCTCCTTCGGGAGGGAGGGGGGAAGGGAGTGAGGCAGGCAGCCAGGGATGGATGGAGGGAGGAGGAGGAGGAAAAAGAGGAGGACGAGAAGGAGGAGGAGGAGGAGGAGGAGGAGGAGAAAGAGGAGGAGGAAGAGGAGGAGGAGGAGGGCAGGAGGAGGCGCCAGATGCCAGTGTGGGAAGCAGAATGGCGTGTCTGCCGCCCCGCGCGGGCGCACGCTCGAGGCCTCCGCCGGAGGCGACCTCCGCCAGAGGGGGCGGGGCACGCGTGTGCGGAGGATGGATTTCGTGGCGGCGCAGGCGGAGCGCATTTTCGCGAACAGTCGCAGGGCTCCACCTGGGATGCGATCCGCCTGCCCTACTCGGTCCTTGCAATCACCGTCACCGCGCCCCCTGCTTGGGTCACGTGCAGTCGTCACAACTGCTGTGCCGGATTGGCAGGTGGCGGTAAGCTTGACACCGTGTCAAAATGAGCCGGCCACGGCCAACGCACTGGGAGCGAAATGGAATCCCCGTCAACAAAAGATGATGGATCAATCTGGGCCGACAACTGGAACCACGAGCTTTCCCAAATTCGATTTCTGTGAACACCGAATAGAGGTCCTCCCCGTCACGATGCCTCTCGTGATGAAAGATGAGAGCTGCTTTATGACCACAACGACGGCCTTCGTTACTGGCGGTAATATTGCAAGCCCGTGTGGTCTGACCCTTGAGGCGAGGTACCCAGTATAGATCATCATTTCTAGAGCATATCGCCGCGATGGGTCGCGAACAGAAGCACAGGGGACACAGGAGTTTGCATGACCTTCGGTAAAACTCGGGAGCGTTGGCATGCGCACGCGTTCAAGACCGTTGACCAGAGATGGACTTGTGTTTCTACAACGTGTTACACTGTCTCATACACTGGAAAGACACTGTCATCGGCGTCGTCGTCGTAATCGCCAAGTCCGTCCTATTCCAATGTAGGGGCTACTCGAAACGAGTTTTCACTGGAGCCTCTATCCATTCCCCCACGGCGACCCTACACTTCGCAAGGCTTCCCCTGCACCGCCCACGCAGCCTCAGCCTCCAGCTGCTTTGCCGCCGCGGCTGCCGTCATGGCTGGGGCTGAAGCGGCCTCGTCGGCTGGGCATTTAGTTTCCTCCTCCCTCCTCCCCGTTCCCCTTCCCTCCACTTCCTCCCACCATCCCTCCCCCATCATCCGTTGCTCATCCCTCCCCTCTTGCTCACCCCTTCCACCCTCTTCTGGGCTCTCCTCGCGCGCGTCGTTTGCACGACGGTTCTGATGGTTATCGCAGACACAGGAGTCCAGATGATGGTGTGGCGATGGCGACGACGATGGTGGCGGCAATTGTGATGATGCCGACCATTGGTGTGATGATGGCAGTGATAATGACGATGACGGCGGCGACGACGATGATATTGATGACGAGGACGATGACGATTCATGCCATTCAACCCCATGTGAACTCCCTGGCCAGAACAAACGCATGGCATGAAATTGCAAAAAACTCACACCAGGTCAATGGGCTACCACTGACCTTCGGCCAACCAAAGCTGGGACTTAACACGCCACACGAGCATGTAAAACATAGAGAACGTGGGGCTTTATGGCATTGGCCCCCTTGAGCGCAGCCCCTCCCATAAAGCCTACGAGGCTCCATGAGAGGAAAGGCGCTCAGTGCCCTCGAAGACTGACCTCAAGGCGCCGCTCACGTCATGCGAGGCGACCACTACGCCAATTAATTCAAGCACCCTTCAACATAATTTAACGTATGAGAGTACTGTGGCTTTCGCGCTGATGTGGCATGAAGAGAGTGCGCCCGCACGGTGAGACGATGGCAACTATTCCCCATAACTGATGCCTCGCCACAAGCGCAACGTCGCGGCAACCAGACTTAGAAAACTGATGATACGCATCATGGAACTCGGACACTTTACATCAATGAATCCATCAATGCCGACGTGCGCAATCCGGTTGGCCATACCTGACGCTTGCTACAGGCAATGTTTTTCCATAGCACCATGCATAACTCGATGCACTTCTTGACGAGACTCGTCTTGATCACTCGCAGGATCTTGTTCCGCGACGAAGTCTCACCGGAAATGTCCAGCGGCCAGTCGTCGGAGGCAACCGCTCCCGTCACGAAGTTGAGCCACTCGGGTATCAGCTCGTCCCAGTCGTCCATGATGGGGCCGAGTCGCACGTACAGCTTGATTGAAGGGGCCCTGGGACACACAAATAAATACACACAAATAACAGGATTCCTTATATTCTCCAATATTTTCTGGGTTTTTGTCTTCCCCCCCACTTCCCGTATTTTCCCATATTTTCTAGGAAATCGACGATTAATTGTGTCTGTGTGTTTTTTCCCCTCCTGACGAAAGGTGCCCGGCGCGGCACGAAGAGCAGCGCGCGGACCTCCATTTGGCAGCGCACGCCGGAGTCTTTCACAGCGAGGTGGTCCTCACAGTCGTTAGACAGGGGTTTGTACAATAGGTTCCTGCGGCGTCGGCGCGCGCAAAGGTTTTTGACACCGCGTCGATCGTTCCACCTTGAATCGATCGCGGCCCCGATCGTTCAAGGTTGAATTCAGCCGGGCACAATGGCATTACCGTGTCCACCGGTGCTTCCGCGTCGCAGAATTCAACCTTGAGCGCCTCCGCCAGCGTCGCTGGCGCGCCAATGCCGCGCGAACCTATCGTAGAACGAGGCGCACTCCTCGTTGGTCATGCCCTCGGACTTGCGCATCCAAAGCGGCCTGCTCTTGCCGAGCTGCTCCTACTCGTGGGGTGCCTCCTCGACCTTCCTTGTATCATCATTGGTGTCCTCCTTCTCGCTCTCCTCATCGACCTCCTGGATGTTCGGCTCGTTGCCTTCTTTCTCCTCGTCCTTCTTATCCTCTTCCTCCTATTCCCTGGAATCCGTCACACCCTTGTCCTTTGATTACTCCGCGCGCAGCTCCATGGGAAGGCCGATGAACGCAGAGTGCTTTCTGACTGGATACTTCAGGCGGCGCTCCTCCCGGAACTCCGCCTGGTTCTCCTTAAGATAGCAGATGATCTGGGTGTCGGGCATGATCTCCCCGTGCGCCATCGCCGTGCCCTTCTGCATCGGGAAGGAGCCACCAGCATCGGACTCCCAGATGTTCTGCTCGTCCTCGCTGCTCTTGCTGATCGCTTGCACATTGTCCTAGACGAGAAACGCGGAGATGAAGCCGACGCATATACAAGTCAGTGCTATGACGTGAGCGGCCATACGCTCCTCGAGGCTAAGACATCACTATGTGAGAAGTTGGCCCGCCCGATTGTCCGACCTGCTCTCGCAACAGAAACCGATGCCACGCTGCTAGAAGGGCCCGAGCAACACGGCTGCGCTATGATTATAATGATGATGGTGATGATGATGATGATGATGATGATGATGATGGTGGTGATGATGATGATGATGATGATGATGATGATGATGATGATGATGATGATGATGATGATGATGGCTGGTGGTGGTGGTGGTGATGATGATGATGATGATGATGATGATGATGATGATGATGATGATGATGATGATGAGATGAAGGATGATGATGATGATGATGATGATGATGATGATGATGATGATGATGATGATGATGATGATGATGATGATGATGATGATGATGATGAGATGATGATGATGATGATGATGATGATGATGATGATGATGATGATGATGATGATGATGATGATGATGATGATGATGATGATGATGATGATGATGATGATGATGATGATGATGATGATGATGATGATGATGATGATGATGATGATGATGATGATGATGATGATGATGATGATGATGATGATGATGATGATGATGATGATGATGATGACGAAGACCATGCTGATGATGGTACTCCTGGTGATGAAGTTGTTCATGATGATGGTGGTGATGATAACGATTTTGGCAATGATGGCAATGCCGGCGATGACGATGACGATGACGACGACTGTGAGTCCAAAATGGCCGAAAGGAAAGCAGCGGGAAGGACAATGAAAGGCAGCAAAGGGAGAGGAGGGAAGGCAGGCACCATCTTCCAGCCCTTCACTGCTTCCTTCTTCGTCGACGCTCCCCTTCTTCTAGTGCCCCATTGGGGGGTCCGGGGGAACTAGGGATGCAGGACGAGGGAAATGGAGGGAGCGTTGGGTTCCGAAGGGGCGAGAGCGAAGGGAAGGAGCGGAGGACAAATGTGTAAGGGGGGGAGGCTGGGGAAAAGGGCCAGGAGGGATCAGCGGGGAGAATTGAGCAGGGACCGACCGTCCAGGCATTCCTTTAGTCCTACCACGGAATGTTCGTAGAACCCAGAAGGGTTCTAAGAGCAAAAAACAAAGCAAAAAACAAAGAGTCCCAGCCAAACATGTTCTAAGAACATCTCGTGGGAATCACAAAAGGTTCTTGGAACACTGCTTGGTAGGACTGCAGGCACGCCAGGACGCTTCGCCACTGCTTGAAGAACGGGGGGCTTACCAGCCTGGAACATATCCCTATCCCTATGTTGGGCATCGCCTCATCACGATGGCGATCTTAGGGATTCCCTTATCTTTTGCGGGCGAATCCCAAAGATTGTCATCGCCCTTTGGCGTGTCAATCTTAGGGATAGGGATACGTGCTGGTGAGGGGCGGGGGGACGGGCGGAGAAAGAAGGACCCCCCCGACGATGCGCCGAGGCCTGTCGCCCAGGCCGGCCGTCCCCGGCGCCAGCGGCCTCGGAGGCAGCGGCCTCGGCGCGGCCGCGCGCGCACGGCAGGCGAGACGCTTCCGCGCGCACGCGGAAGCGCGTGAAGCGCAGGCGCGCGTGCGCACAGGCGCACGCGTGCACGACAGGCTCCTGTGCCCCTTCTCCGCCCTCTCCGTGGCGGGAACGGGAGGAGTGCCTCCTCCCTGCCCAATTCCCCTCCTCCACCTCCCCCTCCTCCTCCTCCTGCTCCCCTCCTCCTCCTGCTCCTGCTCCTGCTCCTGCTCCTCCTCCTCCTCCTCCTCCTCCTTCCTCCCTCCTCCTTCCTCCTCCTCCTCCCCTCTCCTCCTCCCCTCCTCCTCCCCCCTCCCTCACCTCCTCCTCCTCCTCCTTCACTCCTCCTCCCCGGACCCTCCCCCCTCCTTCCTCCTCGCTCCCCTCCTCCTCCTGCCTCCTCCTCCTCCTGCTCCTCCTCCTCGAGCCTGCCCTGCGCACAGCGCCTCGCACAAAGACCGCACGGGCGGGCAAATATTCACACCACGTGACCAGGCGGCACCCGCGCCGCCCGGCGGGGCGCAGTGGCGCGCGGGCGCGCTCTGGGCCCGACGAGCCTTCTGCTGCATCGCCTGCATCTGCATCGCCATCTGAGCAGCGAACGCCTCGGCCCGCGCGCCCCTCGCCTGCTCCCGCCTGCCCCCTTGGCCACCGTCCCTGCATCCCGCCCTCCCGTCGGGTTCCCTTGCAGCTCGCCCGGCCCGCCCCGTCCCCGTCGCCGTCCACGACGTCCTCGCCCTCTCCGTCCCCGTTCCCTTCCCTGCCTCCATCCTAGGGCTCCTCCCCTATCACCTCCCTGGTGTCCGCTCCATGTCCCCTCCCCCTCACTGACTCGTCATCCCCCTGGTGCCCCTCTCCCCACCACCCCGTCTCCCCAATCCCCCGTCCCTCCCAGTCTCTGGCGGTGCCTGGAGTTATCCCACCAAGGTGGGAGAACGAATCCAACAACGGATACCAACACGTCAAGATGATATGGGCCTCGTCCGTTACTCCCGCGTGGCCGTGTGGGCGGAGGTTGACCCGCTCCATGACGGATACCAGCAGCCCAACACATCTGTGCTGCGGTATCGCAAACTGCCGTCCCTCGCCTCCCCTGCCGTGAGGCCTGCCTGGGGCGAGCGGCTCGTGCCAAGCGGCGCGGCCCCCCCCTCTCGCCCTGCCTGCCGTCCCCCCCTCTCTTGGCCCTGCCTCTGCGGAGGCAGGCCACCGCCCCAGCCCCGGCCCGCCAGCCAGACCACACACCCCATGCCCCGCAGACTTTGGCCCGTGATCACCCGGGGGGGGGGGGCATAAGTGGGGGGGGGGGGCAGCGAGGGCTGCGAAAGGCTCGGGGCCCCTCAAGGCAAGGGGGGGGGGGGCCCCTGCGGCCCCGAGGGTCCCGCGGGCGGCAAAGGGAGCCTCGCTTCCCCCTCTGCTCCCCCCCCCCCCAGCAACTCGCGCCCAGCGGCAGCACCCCCCCCCCCGCCGTCCGGGCGCCTCCGCCGCGGCGCCTCCCTTCCCGCCGCACGCCGCCGCCATCCACTCGCCCCAGCTCCAGCCGCCACCACCGGAGCCCCGCGCTGCCTCCGTGGCCCCCGCGGCGGCCTGCGGCAGGGGGGGGGGGGGGGCGGGCAGCCCCCGCAGGCTGCGAGCCTCAGGGGCCGCAGCAGCACCGCAGGGCACCCGTCGGGTCGGTCGGAAGAAGCGGGTAGACGCGTGACGAAGTCGAGTGGGGGATCCACTGCATCCCAAACTTGACTTCCTCGTCGAGCCTGTGAAACAGCAGACATGCAAATGTTCGCAGATCTTCGAGCATCCTGCGCGGCTTGCAGACGCGACGAGAGTATCCATTTGGGGGCACATCCATTACGCAGCCAATTCCCTACTCGAAGCAGGGCGGCGCTGCATCTGGACGCCTGCTGTTGAAAGCTGTGGCCGAAAAAGTTTGCCACGAGGTGTGAAGGCGCCCCGTGATAGTTCAGACAGCTTTCGTGCCGCTGGCGCGCTGGCGCAGGGCGGCGCTGAAGTATCTCTGGCTTCCTCCCGCCCCCTGACGGCGAAGGAAGAGGGGGGCAAACAGGGCGGCGCCCAAGTCAAAAAGGAACCCGGGGGTCGGAAAACAAAAACGCTTTCAGCGACCGATGGGGTAGCCATCCACAACAGGAGGACAGGGCTGGGCCGTCTCAGATACCCCTGATCGGCGTCGTCGTCGTCGTCGTCGTCGTCGTCGTCGTCGTCGTCGTCGTCGTCGTCGTCGTCGTCGTCGTCGTCGTCGTCGTCGTCGTCGTCGTCGTCGTCGTCGTCGTCGTCGTCGTCGTCGTCGTCGTCGTCGTCGTCGTCGTCTCAGCGGCGAGCCCGGGGGGGAAAAGTGAGAAGGGGCCTTCGCAAGGCAGTCGGCCTTCTGGGAAGCTCCCCGAGCACCTCCCGAGGGCGCAGGCAGCCTCTCGGAGGGCGCGAGGGCCTCTGAGGAGCCCCGCCCGCCTTCTGAGGAGGTCTTTTACCAGCCTGGAACATATCCCTATCCCTATGTTGGGCATCGCCTCACCACGATGGCGACCTTAGGGATTTCCTCAGTTCCTGAGGGTGTACCCCTAAGAGTGTCATCTCATTTTAGCGCGTCAATCTTAGGGATAGGGATACGTTCGAGGCTGGTGAGTCTTGTCGCCCTCGCTTCCCCCCTTCCGCTCGCCGCCGACGTGGGGGGGCGGACGCGGCGGGGACAGGAAGGCCACCCCCCGCACGCTGCGCCTGCCAGCGGCCTCCACGTGCCCCGAGCGCGCTCCACCGCGCGCGCGGGCGGGCCCGCGAGCGAGCGAAACGGTCCCCGAGCGGGCGGCAAACGACGCCCTCGTGGGGCACCGTTAGAAGCGGCCCATATTCGGGCGTTGGCAGAACCTGGTTCAGTGGTGTGTACCGGGCGACGCCCCCCCCCGCCCCCTTCCACCAAGCGGAACTGCCGTCACCCGAAAAGCACCAGCCACGGCAGACCTGGTTTAGTGATTCTGGCCGACTGAGGGGCTCCGGGGACCTACTACTAACCGGGTCCCCTTACCTGGGGTCCTGGCTATACCCGACATATGGGGTCGGAGTAGATGGGGTCGGAGGATCGCGCCGCATCGCCGACGCATCGACGATACATCGGCGATGCAGCGGCGATGCATCTGCGACGACGGCGTGGAGAAGATCGGGCTCCACATGGAGTCGCATCGCTGGTGCATCGGCGATGCGGCGCTATCCGTCGACCCCATCTGCTCCGACCCCATCTGGGAGGCATAGAACTGTTCGACGTACAGTCGGACCTAGGACAGAAGAACATCCTTCAAGAACATGAGACCCTCCACCGGCCCCAACTGAAGGACACTCGAGGGTGCCCTCCCCCAGGATGCACAAGAACATCCAACGAACACGAAGAACCTTCGAGTACCCTCCCCGACCCCACCTCGAACTGATACCTCGGTCCGACAGTACAGTAGGAGCCCGACCACAAGAAGCCGTCCACAAGGACCCCACCCCTGCAAACCCAGGGTGTCCCTTGATTCTTGGTGTGGGAACGCCACGCTTCACATCGCAAAACCATCGAAGCCCAAGAACACCCAGGGCACCTTGGAGGCACGCGGGGTGCTTCTTGGCATGGGC